CTGATGGAAAGTTAGGCCCCCGCTGCCTGGTGGCTTGGCCTGTTCTAGAGCCTGGGCAATATCACGAACATTCGCTCTGATGCCCAGCCTTCCGTGTCCAAATCTATCTTCCTCACCCTTGTAATATTGGGGTGCCCTTCTCCTGTCGGTTAACACATCAGTGCCTTTTAGCTCATTGTCATATAGATCACGTATTGCTAGGGCCCTACCAGATTCTTGGTCTGGTTTGGTCAATTTCACGGTCGTAGGATTTTTAAAAATCGTAACTGTCATGATTTCAGCTATTTAAATCTGAAATGTCACGGTGTTGTAATTGTAGGGGTCCTGACCCAAAAAGGAGTTGTGTGTGTGGGGGTCATAAGGTTATTAAAGTGGGGAGAGGGGGGGTTGCGGTATTGCTACCCTTAGCTTCTGCACTGCTGCGGGCGGCAGCACTGCCTTCGGAGCTGAGCAGCTGGAGAGCGGCGGCTGCTGGCCGGGAGCCCAGCTCTGAAGGCAGAGCCGCTGTCAGCAGCAGCACAGAAGTCAGGATGGCCTGGTAGGGTATTGCCACCCTGACTTCTGCGCTGCTGCCTGCAGACCTGGGCCACCCTCCAGCCGCCCAGCTCTGAGGGGAGCAGTGCAGAAGTAAGAGTGTACAAGGTATAGTATTGCTACCCTTACTTCTGCACTGCTCCTGGTGGGGTGCCGCCTTCAGAGCTGGGCGCCCAGCCACCAGCCACCGCTCTCTGGCCACCCAGCTCTGAAGGCAGCGCAGAAGTAAGGGTGGCAATACCGTGACTCCCCCTAAAATAACCTTGTGACCCCCTGCAACTCCCTTTTGGGTCAGGACCCCCAATTTGAGAAACGCTGGTCTCCCCCATGAAAACTGTATAGTACAGGGTAAAAGCACACAAAAGACCAGATTTCACGGGGAGGGACCAGATTTCAAGGTCCATGACACATTTTTCGTGGCTGTGAATTTGGTAGGGCCCTACCTATCGCTCAGGCAAGTTGGTGGTTAGACATCTGCCAGCGATTCTGTCCCCAAATACCCCAGCCCGGGATCAGTTCAGCGCTCCTGCGGTCACCTGGTACCGCTATGTCCCAGCTCTCTCTTGAGCAAGCTATTCCCAGCTCCCCAAACCTCGGGTAATGGCCGGGCCGTTTTCTCTATGCTGAGGGCCACGGGCCTACTTTACTCATGCTAACTTGCTTAAGCCAGTGTCTTACAGGACACAGGCCTGTGGTTCCTTGTGTTACTGCTGAGCTAAATCAAAGGCTCCATGGGCTACAGTGGGTGGTGGTCCAGGGCGCGGGGCCCTGCCCGGCTGCCTGCGCCATCGCTCAGCTGGCATGGGAGGGGCTGCCTTCCGGCAATGGCACAGGGGCGTGGGGGTCTCCGGGCAGCAGCCGCCTCTCTCACCACTAACCCCTCACCCCCAGCCTCAGCCCCTACAGCCATGATAGGGACAGCCTGTCCAGCAGCCAGGACCACATCCCACTTGCTGCCCTGCCCCTTCTGGCCACGTCCTCCGGGAGCTACCAGCATGCCGTGGCCACCACCATCGCCCGTGCCAACCAGGCCCACAGCGCCTTCCTGCACTCCACTGAGGGCTCCGGCTTCTGCGGCCAGGTGGGGGGGCGGCGCTGGGGGAGGCGACGGGGGGTACAGTTGGGAGGAGGGTGGGGCTGAAGCTGTGGGGATCAGGGTGGGGGTTGGCTGTGGGGAGTGGGATGAGGGAGTTGTGAGGCTGGGGGTCTCTGGCTGTGGGGCTGGAGAAGGGAGCACTGGCTGTGGGGAGGCACTGTGAGGAGTGGGGGTTGGGGGCTGTGGGGGACACTGTGGGATGGGGCGCTGTTGGGAAGGGGGCTGTGGGGGTGGGGCAGGGCTGGGTGGGCTACGGCTATAGGGAGTGGGGTCCCTCCCGGATCTGACGGTCCCTCCCTCCAGCAGGTGGTGCTGATTGGTGACTGCGTGGGGGGCATCCTGGGTTTCGATGCCCTGTGCCAGAGCCGGGCGGGCACTGC